TTGTCTTCTTGATATTATCTGTTATTTTAGTCGACTGAAACATTGAAATGACAGTGTTTCCCACTGTCTACAGATATTCTTCAAAGAAAACTCACTAAAATAGGGAGGTACTGCAAATTTCCCCTATTGTAACATTCTGTATTGAGAACTTGAATAAAAAGTTATACACTGGATGTAATGAACAACTTACAAAATTAGTCGATGACTTATAATTGTGCGAATCAATCCGAGTTAAACTGTATCATATTCACTTAGATATAAATCTCATGTTTCAATGAAAGTTACACACAAAACTAATATAAGGATCAAAACCTAAAATTTATTTTATAAGTTAGTTGGTTTATATCTAAATTATCAGGAAAAGAACTGCATTTAGTGAATAAGTATAATGCATGTGTATGTGTGATTAGTTATATGGATTGATATGGAGCTATGATTTCTTGAACAAACCGAGTAAACATTTGCAAGCCCTCGAATGAATAAAAATCGGAACATAAAAAGCAAATGGCCAACAAAACCTTATATCTTTCCAATGAAATAAATATTTATTAGTATAGAAGGATTTGTGGAAATCGTAAAATTGTCATAGCCTGAATGATGAAGCGATATTAATTAGACCACCATTGTAAAACTGAGAGCGCAGGATGACAGTCGAATACCAGCTTAGTGGTCTAGAATCAAAGTGCTAGTGCTCGAAACTTAAGTTCTTGAGTTTGATTGCCAGATGCGGAGTCGTGGGTGCACATTGCCGAGGAGTCTCACACTGGGACAAAATAGGCATCCAGTGTTCTCAGATTTTCAATATTAGTGTAAATAAGATCATTTCACAATTTGAACTATAAAGATAGAAATTATCTGTTTCATCAAATAAGTGTAAACAAAAGTCATTTGAAAACATTTTTAGAGAATAATTGATTTCACTGACCAACTATTAATCAATGAGGTTAAAACTTGACTATCCACCGTATCATTTTTTTTATGAAACTTCCTTGAGCTTTCATGGAATATCATCATATTTTCTTTTGAGATTTCTAAATTTAGATGTATACCCTTGCAATTTTTTCTATTGCAATATCTATAGACAATGAGAACAGTGATACAGTTAAACCCGGATTGTTCTTCATTTGTTGTATGAGTTTCAAAGAAATAAAGAGTTTTGACTGTGCTTTACTTTTTCCAATTTTCGATACTGAATATAATGAATATCTAGAACTTTTGTAGTGTGATTATTCAGTACAGTTTTTATGACGTTCTACCTATCAAATTGATATTTTTCATCTAATAACGTACGTCATAAATCTCTCAACAGTGAATCCTACTTAGTCAAAACTAAACAGAAACATTTAGGTCATTATGATTTCATCACTTTACCATAAAATACTAATATATTAAGATAGGAAGTAATCGACTACTACTAAAACAATGTTTTTCGAGTAGGTATAACATTTAAGTACGAAGATAGATAGAGCTGTATGGTACTAAGATAAACTAGTTGTAAGTATTTAAAACTTTAGTCTAAGGTTATAACACTTTGGTTAGCGTTTTTTAGCGAATTATTTTTCTGAGGCATGAGGTCGCTAACCCCATGCCCAACCCTCCTACTTTATCCCGACTTGGGACCGGCAGTAGCCCCAGAGGGGCTCCGGACGGAGTTGAGTCCTCAAGGCCAAAAGAAAAGGAGAAGACCAAAGAACACATTACACCGAGAAATGGAGACGGACATGAGAAGAATGAACAAAAATTCGATAGAACTGGAAAAGAAGGCTCAGGACAGAGTGGGTTAGAGAATGCTGGTCTGACTTTAAATCATTAGATATACCCGTCTAAATGATATATAATCGTATTTTTCATAGACCTCATATATCTATGACCTGTTCTCCAAAAAGTACATATGTAGAAACATTTGTTGATTGAGTATATTGTCGTTACCATACTCTTTGTAAAGTTGATATTATGAAGAAGTGACGTTTATCACTGTGTCATAAGATTTTTATATAGATAGATGTATTATACTATGATATGAAAGTTAACCAAAACAACTTGACAATGTACTTTATTTTAATTATTGACATATTACAAATATCACTATTTATATATGTAAACAATCTTACATACGTATATAAACAAGTACCCTGATCACCTGTTTCTTTTTCTTTTCAAGAATAGATGAACACTGATTTATTGATTGAACGCCAGAATGTCTAGTCTTACACTTCAGTAAAAGATTGACTAGTTAATCAGTGTTGATTAATTTACTACCAATAATAAAATGGATAGACAAATGAAATACTGTATAAAATATTTGTAAATTAACCAATAATAAATAAGAAACAATTATGTGTGTAGTGACAAGGTAAACACCTAGTTATAGAAAGTCATGTTGATCATAAGATGAACAGAACAGATGAAAATAGAAAGAAAAACGAAAAAAAAACGTTGAAGGGGAAAAGTTTCAGCATTGTCTGTATTGTTATTTGTAAATTTATCAGATACCATGCATATATGAATATCTTAGGGATTTCTTTCTGTGTAATGAAACACTTGAGTTAGCTTTGTTCTATCATTAATATTTTTTTCTTTACTAACCTCGAAACTACTACTACTGCTACCATTCTTTTGTATTCTTCTTGATAATTTTATTTATAAGTATAAGGTTATAGAGATTGTAGAGTTTGATTGAGATCATGATTCGATCAATGTTAGACCACCATTGATAACGTGGAAGCACTAGACAACCGATTCGTTCTAGAACGGTTGATGCAATGTGACGACTTGTATTGATCCAAATATTGTTCACCGTTCTATATTCCACATCACTCATTGACTGAATGAAATAATTTTGTGTCTAGTAGGTCGATATGTGTTATGCAATTTCAATAATGTAATTACACGAATAATTTCAACAAATTTTCAAATTAAATAGATTTACTTGTCAGAAGGGGTTTGTGGAGATTTTGGAAATTTCACAGATTGAAATCATGAGTTAATCGAAGCTAGACCACCATGGAAAACCTGGAAGCACTGGACGCTCGTTTCGTCCTAGTATGGGACTCCTCACCAGTGCGCATCCACGATCCCGCACTCCGCGAGATTCAAACCCTGGACCTATTAGTCTCGTGCCAGGCGCTTAACCAACTAGACCACTGACCCAGCATCCATTGGTGTTAGTGTCTAACTTCAACCAATCCACGAAGTTGCGCCACCGTACACCATTGTATTTATAAAACACTATTATTTGATTATCTAGTCATTTCTATACATGGGATGTGTGGAAAACTACTTTCTAATTAATTGATATTATACTTTCGATCATTACTTAGATTAATTAAAAGAAGCGTTTATTCATATATTAAAGTAAAAGTCTATATAATTTGAACATTCTTACTTATTTAAGAAATCGAATTTCAGATTCCTTACATTCAGTGACGAAATTCTATTTCGCCTGATTTAGTGGTTTTAATTCTAGTAGCCATAGGTTAGGGTTAGTCTCAATAATCATTCAACACGATTCGAACAGTTTGATATTTTGGGTTATTAAAGAGAACTTGATAAGATACTAAGATATGATAAACAAACTACAATAAACAAGTTCACTGTCCAATGTGTCATTCCATAAGCATAAGTTGGTGGGACTGATTAGTTGACTAATCAACTAGTTCACTTTAACACACAACTTGTTATTAGTAATTTAAGATAATCTAGTTATTTTGGACTATGACCTAACAAATATAGGGATTGAAAACGAAGAAGTTCTGTTTTATATCACTTTCAGAGAATGTTGCCTAACATGACGGCAAATTTTTAAAGTCATATAAATGGTTTGTTTACATAATCATACATGTGCAGAATCAACCGTTTTCTGATGATGAAGCTTTTCAGTTTGACCATTTCATTGTGGTGGTCTAAGATTATCACTGGGTTGCAACGAAGACACAATATCACCAAAATGACATTGTGATAGACGGAAAATAAAAGTTCTGGTAAAGAGAAAAACAATCCTTAAATAATGATTCATTATCTGAACGATAATCTCTTCACAATTTTATCAATGACCAAAGCTCATGAATAACGTAGCAACTCACCTTAGCATTTCATTTTAATGTATGACAGTTATGAACAGAGTATGTTTAACAGATTTTAAGCATTGTCAGGTCATTGAAAATAGTAGGTAGTTACGTTTGTATGCCTTTATAGGAGTCTATTCTCGTCTTCAAATGATCCACTGTTATTCATAGGTTTAGACCACACGTTTGACGTAACAAACGCAAAACTCATTTTTATTCCGATTTAACAAAAATAGGAGACCACTTATCTTCATTTACTCGGAAACTGATTTCCCTAATAGTATAGGTGCGAAATTTATATCTCAAGAATTCAGAAATCCTTCCAATAAAAACTAGCAGCGTTTGAGTAACCGTTGTATGCCAGGAAGATCCTCCAACCTGAGTTTAGTAATTATCACTATTTACAAACGAATCATTATGTTAAGTGCATTGCTAAGTGGGTGTTCCTATCTTCCTGCTTGATAACATTCTTGTCGTGCATCTTGACGTATTCTTTGATCTCTTACAAGTTTGATTGCATCCAACTCACCTAGTATAAAGCCAAAACTGTTTATGTCACTTGTCAACGAATTTTCAGCATTTAATCATTCAGATACTACATTGATAAGTCATTTTCATAAAACTCTGTATGTCTAAGTATGCAGTATGGGCTTTATTCGCATGTCCACTTAAATCTGTTTCATATTATTTGCAGTTGTAATAAATAATTGCGTTCGACTTAAACGAGATTAAGCGGCTCTCTTATGAGGTTCAATGAGTATGTTTTCGCAGTGCAGAATAAAAAAGCCTAGGAAATTTTTTTTTCAGTATCTCACGCCAGTCTATTATCAATTTAATAAATCTACTTCACCCACTTACTTTTCAGTTTCTCTCGTAAAAAAGATTCACAAGGAAACGCATCATATTTCACAATCACACCTTGAGTTTCGATTCAAAATGACAACAAATCAAGATATTGTCAAAACATCGTCACTATTTTCTGATAAATCTATGAGTCTAAAAGAAAGTCACAGATATATTTTATCAGCACTAAATGATCATGCACCTATACGATCATTTGATGGTAGTTTTTCTGTTAATCGTAATAATGAGAATCAAACAGGATATTTTACACCTTGGTCACCTATTGAAGTTACATTCTCTGAATGTACATCTCAATGCAATTCCATTTATGCTGTCGAATCAAATATACATGAAGATATAGTCAAGAAAATGAGTTTACCTAACAATTTTACAGTTAACAAGACTGATAATCCTCTTGATTATTCCATACATTCCAATTTTATTGATCATCAATGTTTAACATCTACCAGTCCGAAAGTAACAGCTCATCAGCAATCAAATTACAATCGCAATTCATCACTCGAATTTTCGAACAGCTTCAAATTTAATAATAACAATACATCTTCCTTAAGGAAATCAGAATGCACTTCCCAACCAGTTGTATGTTATGCTACAAATAATGAAACTGATGGCGGACGTTTATCAAAACGAAAGTATTCTAAAAACCATTCTAGTGTTTCTAGGAAATACACTGGAAAATATATAAAAGCAGGAATCAACAAGATTACTGGCCTTAATCAACCTAATGTAATCAGTATTCCTATCAGTAATAATAATACACATATCAATGACAGGTTTGAGGTTATTCACGCTAATACTATTAATCATTCATTAACACATAATTTACTAAAGGAGACATATTCTTTAAATCAAAATACTGTAAATGAAGATGGGAATTCAATAAATGGTAAAAAATCGAAATTAGATAAAAATTGTCCCACACTTGAAAAAAATAGCATCAACAAACAAACAATAGATATGACTTTTTATTCCACTCCCAAAGACAGCCCATGGAACAATGACGAAGATGAACAAGGTAAAACTAACAGTGATAATCAAAACAATGTGAAAAATACTGTTGTTTCAACAGGAGCTTATAAATATTTATCATGGCGTGAAAAAGATCGTAGACGAAGGTTTCGTGAAGAATGGAAACATTTATGGCTTGTTATACCACATGGACTTCATGAAGTAAGTTGAAAATGATAATCCACTTTCCTTACTTGATAACTAGTTTTCTGTATTAGTAGAAGTAAGAATTCTTGATGACGTATTACATAACAACTAAAACTGCCTCTTTCTCTAGTAAATACAATTCTTTATAGATTGATCATTTTTAATGATACTGACAAATGACTATCGAATAAACATTTACTAACCGAGTTTGTCCCCAATGATCCATAATTTCCTCTATAAATGTTGATCATAATATTATTATCATAAAGTTAGGTATGCGGATTTGAGAATCTCAATGGAAAATCTGACCAAAAAGTAACAGTAATAACAATAAATAGTCACTCACATATTATTGTAAAAAGTTCAGTTTAATAGAGGTAAAATATGGAAAAAACTTGGTCTTACATTCTGGATAGGAATAATTGGCAAGGAACCTTTTTGTTTACGGATGCAAACCCGAACTCTTAATGAACATCACAGCTTTACGACTAAGTTTTGTTTAAAGGCAACTAAACTCTAAAGCCTATCAGCTTGCTTTATTATTCTTGAAAGCCTGTTGGTTATATCATACAGAGTATCAGGTGACAGTGAATTTAGATACATCACTGGTCACTGAATAAATGAATTGAAATTTTAGTTAGAGGTCCTGGTAATGAACTCATCAGTAATTAATTTGTAGTGAATTCTGATAGCGCCTCGAAGTACTATAGCTTTCAACCACCTATTCAAGTGCCATGATGAAGATTAAGTTGGCAATTATTTATTTTACTGTGTGATATTAGTCATTTAATATCCATGATGCAACGCTCATAAATTAGACATAGGTCCGCTTTAATTGTCCGATGATAGTCCCTCAGTTAGATACTGAAAGACGGATAGATTCTATCAAATTTTAAGTCCAAAGTCCAAATAGTTTGAATCACTTTAACCCGATATGAAATTAACATGGATACTCTGAGCAACTGATTACTCATGGTAAGAGCTCCCAGAAAATTCAGATAACTGTTGTCACTATTGATTTGCTACTATATTCATAACACAATTCAAATCAAATAGCTTAATCATACTTATTATAAAACAGTATTTCGTAAAGAAGGGACGGTTTACAACTTACCGATACTGTCAAACGTCTTCTCTTCTGGTCTTTAAGTGTTCTACCAAATCGTGTTTTCGATGCAATGGAAGTTTCCATAGTTGTTACAACTTCAACGCCACGTTCAGATACACACTACTTACAAACATCCTTATGAGTAGCGTCCACCATAGTACCATCATTTTTATTAACTTTGATTTAGTATGAACCCTTAACTTTTCATCAAAATGAGAACCGAGCAAAATGAGTTGAATAGATGATAGATAGTTAAATGTCTAGATTTTTTGGAGGCCTTTGTGATCATTGCATTTGGGAAAAGAATGAGGTCTTTATACTTGTATCAGTAGACATAACCATTATAAAAGTATTCAGGATGGAGAGACATCTATTCTCATCGAAAACCAAATAAGGAAGAATAATTCATTGATACAAACAAAAAGGTACCAAACATCATAGTGGTGAAACAGTGAATAATTGGTTAAACTACTAGGTTTTCATTTAACAGGTTTCAGAGTCAAACCCTGCACTGCTTAATTTAGCTTTAGCAGTCAGGTAGAATCACCGTTCTTCACACAAATTGTGACTTAAAACCAAATACACAAATATGTACTTATTAAAGCGACTTCCCTTAAGCTTTTGATGTAGTTGAATAACCAATTCATAAATAAAATAGCCCCCTTATCCAAAAACTTACTTAAAAGCCGTTTCCGTTGACTTATAAAAATTTTTAAGCAAATAAACTGATATGATAAATTATTTCTACTACCAGTGGTAGTAGTAGTAGTAGTAATACTAGTAATTGTAGTAGTAGAACGAGTTTAATTAGAAATGTTGTTAATCAGCCTTTAACGTCAATACTACTTTTATTACTATTGCTTGCAGAACTTGCAATTGGAGTGTGTACTTCTTTGCATTTAAAAGACATTTAGATACACATACGAACATTCATTTATTACGGTTGATGGATAGCTATGATTATTATTATTATTATTATTATTATTATTAGTAGTAGTAGTAGTAGTAGTAGTAGTAGTGGTAGTAGTATCTTTGAACTATCTATAAAGATTTTTAGTAAATATTAACACACATTCTTATGTTTGCGCTTTCAGTACTGTAAAAAGTAGAAAATCCAATCTTAAGCAGTCATTATTCTTATTTTCTATGATTTCCAATCATTCTTAGATGAAAAAGAAAACTACCAATAATCCACGTTTCTTCTCGAATATATAGTACTGCATACACAAAGTCCAAACAAAAGTCTCATAAATTCTACTGTCTTAGAAAAGTAATAAAAATTTTACAGTTCATAGAGAAAAGTATGAAAAATAATAAACATTAGCGAAAAAATGTAAGGGAGAAAATCTAAGACAAGAAAATGTATTCGGGTAAAAATGTCGGGGTAAATTAAAGGGAGAGGCCATGGACAAATATGCAAAATCAGACGGATTGAGAGAGTAAGATAGAAAAAAACGGTAGTCTTATATTATTTTTTATGCCTTCGCCTAGTTTCCCCCGTTTTATGAATCTTATTTATTGACATTAATTGGTCACTTGAAAACTGGTGATTTATAATTTTATACACAAATATATAATATCTATAGTATAGTGTTCTTTCAATGTATATAATAATGATTCTAAAGAAGAATCTGTTAGTCTTAGTGTCAGTGATGAAGATGACCATTACGAGAAGGATTTTAGAGGACTACAGTATAACCTTTAATTCAAAGATATACTTTACTTTATTAGAAATAATAGATTTGAATTAAGGTTTAGGTTACGATCGGTATTCTCTTGTGAAGTAGAACGACTTTTTTTTCTTTGGAAAATAGATTTCCTCATTAGAAAAGTATATTGAGAGAATATCACTAACTATGAGAAAATAATCAACAACTGTCACGACTCTTGTAACTATCTAAATCAAAGTAGCCGGAGTTTGTTTGAGGCAAACAACTTGTTTATTCAAAGACTTTAAGTATTAGAGTGATAAGTCTTCTTTTGAATATGTTACTGAGTCAGTTCATCATTTTCACATCAAAGAAGGGGTGGCGTAATGGTCGAACAATTAGCCTACAACCAATAGTTATGAGGTTCAAACCTTTTATGAACGTACTTCAACTTGCATAGCCGGATAATATCACCAACTCTCGTATACTTAGTACAGCTCAATGCTGAAGATATCAACATATGAACGATATACATCAAAAAAGTAATGTAACAATATAAACAATTGTTGACCATCTCAGTAATTATATTAATTATATGCTATAAGTTTCGTAAACTATTAGTCAATAATATAATTGTGAGATAGTAACTCAATGAAAACAATGGTGGATGTGTCACTCAATTCCGTCGATTAGTTGAAGTTTAACATTAACACCATTGGATGCTAGCCGACTCAGTGGTCTAGAGGTTAAGCGTTCGCGCACGAGACCAATATGTTCTGGTTTCGAATCTCGTAAAACGGAATTGTGGATGCGCACTGCTGAGGAGTCTCATACTATGACGAAACGACCATCCAGTGTTTCCAGGTTCTCCATGGTTGTCTAGCTTCCATTGACTCATGAATTCAACTACTAATTACTATAATATCCACAAAACCCATCTCTGAGTATAATTAATTATTTATCTCTCTGTTAGGTAATATGTATCTTAACTACTTTCAAACATCATACTATTTTATAAAACATTAGTTTATTACATGGTAACAACTGGAGTTGATTATTATGCATTTGTTCATATAGATGACTTTCTTTTTTGTTTGTCAATCTGGCTTATGCATATATATATGTTTGTCTTCCAGAAGTGAATAGAAATTATTATTTACATTATATACTTTTAATGAACATTTTCAAAGGTGAACGAAATCATCTATTGTGTTTTATAAGTATTTCATTATAAATTGATAAGTAAAACTATCTGTTAGTTCATAGATCATTGGTTGAATTCATCAGTAAATGACTTGAAGAAAGTTTATGCCATTTGTTCCAAGACAGTCTTATGGAAAATAAATCATCTGAGACGTAATTAATAAAAAGGGATTTTCGGCATAAATAATCAGTTAATTAGTAATTAAAAGGTTTCGAATTTTTACGAAATGATTTGATATATATTCAAATAAAATTTAATTTCAATAGTTGAGATCATGAGTCAATTGAAGCTAGACCACTGTGGAAAACCTAGAAACACTGGACGGTCGTTCCATCATAGTATGAGACACCTCAGCAGTGCGCATTCACGATTCCGTCTCGCGAGATTCGAAACCAAGACCTATCACTCTCTCGCGCGAACCCTTAACTTCTGGACCACTGAGCCGGCCAGCATCCAACGGTGTTAATGTCTAGCTTCAATCAATCCACAATTTCCACTGTCTTTGGTGGGTAACTGTCTGACACCCTACACAGTTGAAATCAACTGGTCACAGCTTCTCACTAGAACTCTCAAAGCTAGTTACTAATGAACACATGATAATTATCAATGTAAGGTTGTGCAGATTTTCGAGTTTTAATTAAGATCATGGACCGATCAATGTTAGAACACAATCGAAAACCTGGAGGCACTGGACATTCGTAGATACATACTGCTGAGGAGTTTCGCAATATAAGTTAAGCGTTCGCGCGCGAGACCGATATGTCGTGGTTTTGAATCTCGTGAGACGGAATTGTAAATGCGCACTGTTGAGGAGTCTCACACTATGACGAAGCAACCGTCTAGTGTTTCCAGGTTTTCCATGATGATCTAGCTTAAATTGATTCATGATCTTAACTACTGAAGTTACTATAATATCTATAAAAATCTCATCTAATATTAAAATTTAATTCAGTAAATTATATTGTGTTACCTTTGTTGATAATCTTTAGGTTATGTGCCTTATTTGTCATAAAGTTATGACTCAAAGAAAATTAGACACAATAAAACGTCATGTTGTTAGAAGACATCCAGAATTATTAAAAATGTATGATCATGATAAAAGAGAATTATTTAATCAATTAATTAAACAATCTAATTTAATAGATCATACAAACATCAATTCAATCATAAATAATCCATGTAAATTCATACAAAAATCCAATGATTCATATAAATGTAATTTGAATAGAAATTTACCAAAGACAAAAGAATCTTCACAGAAACTTCTATTCAATACTTCTAATCGGTTGATGAATCAAACAAGTAATAGAAATCTTTTTCTTAAAAATATGAATCAATTTAATAATATTCCATTATGTTATACACCAAATTCACAATCTGTATACTATAAGAGTAGTGAAGATTCAGTTGATGAACTTCATGAGGTAGTCAATTCAAATGTTAAAATAAAACAATATTTATCTTCTGACGAAAGTAAATATCTACCGAAAATGTATCAAGAAGTTATAAACAGTTTTGATTTCAATCATTTATCATCAGCATTACCAGAAGATTGGTTTAATCTCTTAAAGATTGCTGAAAGTCTATTACCTATTGTTAAATCATCATCTGATGGATCAATGGATCCTCTTGATTATTCTATACATTCAAGTCAGCATAATCCTATAGAAATCAATATGCAATTATTATCTTCTAATAATCAACCAGTAAATACATCAATGATTTCGACAGAATCATTATTATCTCCAAATGTTCAAACTATTAATTGCTCTTCGTTTCGTCCTTTCTCTTCTTCTTCTAAATCATCCAATTTAAATATAAATTATAGAAAACCATTTACTCCAATGACATATAAATCAATGGAGCCAATGAATTCATTACCATTATCATCGATTGTACAAACAAAATCCTTTTCTAATATTCAAAATTTAGACAAATCCTATGGATTTATGGAATCAACCTCTAATTCATATGAAGACACCATTAAAACCAGTAATGAAATTTTAGCTGCAGTTAACTGTAACGTAAACTTTTCCAGTAAAAATATTCACGTTCAAAATGACAACGAGATAAACGATTATGACAGTAGTCAAATGGCCAAAGGATATTTAAATTCACAGTTTCATTTAACAACGGAATATATGGAGCATGATCATATTGTTAATGAACTAAATCAACGTTTAAGAGTATCTGTAAATACAACAACAAGTCATGCCAACCGTACGTCAACTGGATTCGATCCTACGTTTTCAAAAGTAAGTTTAATCTCATGAGACCTATGTTTATTAAAATTATATTTATTCAGTTTTTTCATAATAAAACTTGGAGCGTATGTTCAAATACTAGTACAGATAACATTCGAATTACATAGAATAGATGAAATTTGACTAGAAGTGGAATCCAGAGCTCATGTTTCGTCCTGTCTGGGATTCGTCAACTGGATGTGCCTGCATCGCAGAGTCCATGTTCCCTCTGGGACTTGAGCCTAGCACGGTTTGCCTCAAATGACATTACGTTATCCACTTAACTACTGGGTCGACATAGCCACTCGCTTGCTCAATGAGTATGAAATGTAATTCAAAATGAAGTGAGATGTAGCTAGCTGTGGATAACCACTGAATTTTCCATTCCATTTATTCTTCATAAACTTGTGTCATAATAGTTATATCGAGGTAATCTGCACAGCACACACATATATCAAGAAGAGACTGACCAAATTTCAACCGAAAATTTCAACAATAGGATAATCCAGACCATTTCAAAGTTAAATAATAATTTGCATTGCAAAGATTCAGTTTGTTTTTCACATATGTTGTGTTGAAGAGTTATTTATCATCTTTACATGTCAAGTAATTCTCAAGTTTCCATATCCATTAATATCATTTGGGTCTTAATGATTGGAGAGATGTCATTGTTATTCTTACAAAAGTGTTTGTTACATATGTAATAACCAGTATGTTAGCTGACTTTTATACTATATTACCAGTGAAATAACCACTAGCTGTTTTTATAAAATGTTGTCACCTAACATAATTGTTTGTCTATTTGGTATACCAACAGAAATGTCAAGTAATAGGATAGATACATAGATAGATACATATATACATGTGTTTCTCATCAGAAGTGAGAATTTCATCAAGAACTGTTTGATTGAAGTATATGGGTGTATTGTAGTCAATAGACGTGTATAACCTAATTTCAAAAGAAATAGAAAATAATCACTATTATCATTAATTCATTTTTGTATTGGTTGTTTGAGTCTTCCCATTCATGTTTGGAACTGCAAGTGTTCAGTCTCATATTAGCATATGGACTGGGTTCAAGTCCCAGAATGAACATTAACTCTGGGATAAAGGTACATCCAGTTTACAAATTCGGAATAAAACGAAACTTCCATCCTGGATTCCACTGGTAGCCACCATCCATTATCAATATTTTTAAAGTTAGGCAGTCAGTGAAAAGTCAATAAAAAAACATAAATAAGACAGAATTTCCTATTCACAATTTTATTCAACCCAATTCGTTAATAACTTCTACCATTTTTCAACATCTAAAATATATTGCACTTAGAATGTATGAAAGATTCTTAAGTTACTTTCCAAAATTAGGCGGTATTATGTTGATTAATACCTGGAAAAATGTAGTGATTTACTACATGTGGACAATTTATAGTTATTTATTTATAAGTGTATAACTAAATGTAAATGAAGCAAATAAAGGCTTAAGTGAATCAGTAACACGAATTAATATGAGCAAGGTATTAAATAATTGTCCAATAATCAGAGAGGGGTTTTAGGGGTATTATAGTAATTTAGTAGTTGAATTCATGAGTCAATTGAAGCTAGACAACCATGGAGAACCTGGAAACACTGGATGGTCGTTTCATCATAGTATGAGACTCCACAACAGTGCGCATCCACGATTCCGTTTTACGAGATTCGAAACCAGAACATATTGGTCTCGTGCGCGAACGCTTAACCTCTAGACCACTGAGTCGGCTAGCATCCAATGGTGTTAATGTTAAACTTCAACTAATCGACGGAACTGAGTGACACATCCACCATTGTTTTCATTGAGTTACTATCTCACAACAGATCTGGTTGAACTTTATTTGTCTAATAATATTATTAAAAGTGAAGCAATTTTAAAATAAAGAAATTATCTAATTAGAACAAGTATTGAATCATACATGTACATTGGTACAACAAACTTTTTTATAACTGTTTGATGGTTTTATTCATTCTCTAAAGAAAATGGTATAAGTTGATTCGATTTCAAAATACTTAACAAAAGGAAATAGCTATTTTCTGGATTACACTAAGATTTACAATTCTCATTGATTCAGTCATATGTTGAATTATCGATGTATAGCATTTCTTTTATTGTCTTATCTTCTCAACAGGTTCCTAAAATTGACGAGGCTCAGTCATTAATGATAGCCGCTTGGTATTCAGCTCTTATGAATTCTACTAAAAATACAAACCAACTAGTTAATGACAATGTATCTTTAAATGTACATAAACCAATATGTGATGAATCTGTAGGTATGGAGCAGCCCCTCACATTTTCTTTCCCTTTCTCAAATCCAAAACTCTTCAATACTAGCTCACATGTTCCCAATACCTCCGATGAAATTATTTCCTCTTATTTAAAACAAAAGGAGAAACTTAGTAATTACCCAAGTATAATAGATTCATTACAATTGCATAATCAGGAGGTGGAATTACAATCATCGAAACAAGTGAATCCATCTCGTCAGTTAAAATTGAATTCAGATTTGAATAAATTTACTATCTCCTCTCTATTGAATACAGAACAACGTCAAATAACAACTCCAGTATCAAAAGCAGAACAGAAGAGTGATAATTCCTGTCCTAATATACTTAGTAACTTAGAAATGTCTTCATGTGATAGCTCGACTGATTCATCATCGCAGCTTGACAATCAGCAAAAATATGATAAATTTAAATCTATTCCCGAGTGTATCTCATGCATTCTTTGTATGATTCATGACATGAATGTAGGAAATTCCTCTAGCAATACAAATCATAATAAGTCGTGCAGATTAAATGTGGACATTCCAAGTAACATATATGCAAAAGAAGCTGATTCATACAAAAGAAAACATACAGCGTTCACCTGCCCTAAAAATTTGCCAAGTTCATTTTATAATTCTGTAGAAATTCAATCCAAAATTAATACATCTAACCCGTTTAACAATGGTAATTGTACTTCACAAAATCAAATACCATTCATACATTTACTGGATTCAAATAATCAACCCATTCACGAAGTACAAACCTATATGAAATGTTATTATGATGAATTGTTACGAAATCATTTCGAAAATATTCAGAAAGAAAATCAATCCAGTGAAAAAGTGACATCATCATATTGTTGCATACCAATAAATAAAGAAAACACTATCTGTTTAAATGGTAGTGAAGATATCTAGTTGAATGAATCCACTTAGTGTTTGGTGGTACAAAGAAATACCTACAGTTAACTACATGAAAACCTCTACGCAACAACAAACAGGTAAGTTAATAACATACTACAATAAACATGTATGTATAATACTAATATTCTTTCCAATAGTCACACTAATTCATATGAACTAATTTATACAGTCCGAATTACCAAGATTCATTGAATAACTATATTTGAGTATGGGGTTGGGGAGATTAATAAGTTTTTGATTGAGATCATAAACCGATTAATGTTAGACCACCATTGAAAACCTGAGAGCACCGGACGGCTGTTTCGTTCTATTGTGGGACTCCTCTGCAGGTTGCATCCAAGAGTCCGTCCGCGGGATTCGAACCCAGAGTCTTCGGTCTCGCGAGCGAACGCTTAGCCTCTAGACCACCTAGTGCAGGCTATTACATGATCAATGATAATATGCAATTCTAAAGAGAAGGACTTAAATATTGAATGAACTAAATATTCATATTGATGTACAGTTTATCAACACATACCCTTTACTAAATATTAGTATTACGATTAACGTTAATTGCATCTTTCAGTTAAGACTCCTGAAATTATATCTAAAACTGATGATCTTGAAAAGTTCATATTATTTTTTTTCTACTCTATCCACTACTATGTATCCTGAAAGATCAAGTGACAAAAAGTCATGAATAACTCGAATTTTTAAGAAGAAAAAAGCCTATCCAATCTTCTTGAATTTTAATCGGTGACTTCAGTAGTGACAGATATCGATTTGAAATCCGTTCAGAAGTGAAACCATTCCCATTACCTTCACTGTGAGGTGATATGGGATATATATTATTTTATTTAAAGGAAGTGAATTCTTCATAATTAGACATAAAACTTGTCGTTCATGTAAAAAAGTGTTAATCCAAAGTAGGCAGTGTATATTGTGTGTATTTACTTTTAATAAATGGATAAGATAACACTCGACCTACATTTTCTTCAAACTTAGGAATGGAAACCTCATCAATTATGAGTTCAGAGTTATTAATTATTTTAAAACAAGAGACTCATTTATAGTATCTTTTTGAAATTGTGGATTATAGTGGAACCTAGGATATTCATTTTATCCTGCTTAGAACTTATTAAATGGATATAATGTAGTGGTCAGTATTCGATATAATACTTAAACTTCGTAAACAGTTCGTCCTGATAACCGTTATTAGATAATATCCCCAACGGTGTATAAATCAGAAGAAGAGTACGAATTGTTGATCGCGTTTATTATTGCATGACACACAGATCACCACAACCACAGACACGCGAAACAATAATGAAAGGGTAATGTCGAAAAACAAGCGAGCGAGTGAGCGTGCGAGTTCAACGAATAGGATTAAAATCTACATATATATACGTAGGGAAATACATGAATCATCGAATCAATTAAGCGACTAAAATTAAAGCTAGCAGAATGAATATGTGCGTAGGCGGTAAGCAATGCTCAAGCATAAATATTCAAACAGGCGCAACAATAATAAAGGTACAATGGTATAAATAAGTAGTTATTGTACGAATAGCTCGGCCCGTTAAATAACTTAACAAAAAGGCTTAACCAAATTAAATATGAACAAACTCAATTGCAAGTGAGCTGGTATAATACATTAATACCGCAGTTGATATTCTCACACGAAGTAACTATTTACTACAAACACCAATAAGTTATTCACAAAGCTCCTGAAACAAAACAATTATAAAGGGCATTTGTGTTGGTAATACAGTTAGAAGCTTTCTACCTCAATTCTTTGGTTAGCCTAATGATACCTTAATGAAAAATCGAAGGTTGAGAATCATCTTTATATGAAAAGACTAAAAATGTAACTTTGAAGCTGATAGAAACTATAGCTAAGTAAGAAATAAAGATATATTATCTTGAATGTGATGTCTTTGTTGGATAATATTATTCAAGATTGCTACCTTATTTGCACATAACTCATAATTAGTAACTGATATTTTACTATTTCTAAGATAGTATATGAAATAGAATATAAAATGACAACTTCAAAGGTAAATAGTTCATTATCAATGGTATTATAAACTTGTCAAAATTAACTTTAATTTCGGTTCTACAAATTTACGTGCTATACTGTTTGTTAAAGTTAGTTACTAGTCTTGAATTAAGGAATAATGATGTGCCCAAATTGCTAATTGTATAGTTACTTACGCTTGTTACTCCCAATGGAGTATAGGCCGCCGACCAGCATTCTCCGACCCACTCTGTCCTGAACCTTCCTTTCCAGTTATATCCAATTTTTGTTCGTTCTTCTCATGTCTGTCTCCATTTCTTGGCGTAGTGTGTTCTTTGGTCTTCCTCTTCTCCCTTGACCATGAGAAGTTCAAGTGAGGGCTTGCCTTGTAATGCAGTTGGGTGCTTTCCTCAATGTATGTTCTATTCACTTGCAGTGCTTCTCCCTAATTTCTTCTTCCTCTGGTTGTTCTCTCCCATAGTACGTTGTTGCTGATAGTTTCTGGCCAACGGATCCGAAGTATTTCACGTAGACAACTGTTAATAAACACTTGTATCTTCTGGATGATGGCTTTTGATGTTCTCCAAGTTTCCGCCCCATACAGTAGAACTGTTTTGACATTTGTATTGAAAATTCTGACATTGGTGTTGGTTGCCAATTGTTTTGAGCTCCAAATGTTCTTCAACTGTAGATATACTGCTCTGCACCTTCACACCTGCATCAGATCTACCGTGTTCATCAGTGCTGTACAGATATATAAAAAATTTTACATCTTCCAAATCTTCTCCGTCAAGTGTAATTTTATTGATGCATGCTGTGTTGTATTGGAGAATCTTAATTTTCCCTTTGTGTATGTTGAGACCTACTACTGCTGCGGCTGCTGCTACATTAGTTGTCTTCTCTTGCATTTGTTGTTGCATTTGCGATAGTAGAACCAGATCATGTGCAAAGTCTAGATCGTCCAGTTGCATTCTAGCTGTCCACTATATCCCATGCTTCCCCACTCCAGACGCTGATGTCTTCATGATCCAATCGATCACTTAGAGAATGAGAAAAGATGAGAGTAAGCATAAGCTTGTATTCAGATTCATTTGATGTGAAAGGATAAACTAGCATTGATATTTTATTGCTTTGTATATGGAGTATAAACATTACACATATTCCATATGATTTTATTATGCTTTGATTACTTTATTCTTGAATAATATTCTAGGGACCAATATTCACTTAACATAACCAAATGTTTGTTTTTCTTAAATTTTATTGTAGTTCTTCAATAGATCAAGTTAGATTACGTTGTATGCAATCGAATATTGAATATCACATTTTAAAAACACAAAATTACTTATCTGATAACTCATTTACGACTGTTTACTATGAAAGTAAACAGTAACCAGGGGGAAAACAAAGTAATGTGACATAATTGGGAGAGTTATCACTAGAATTATGAAATAAACTAATATCTGATTTATTTTCACTTATACAAACAAAAAATCGATTATAATATCCCAAAGTAACAAATATGTTCTATCATCAAATAAATTGTTGATTCATGAATTTTGATTTTTCCTATACAAGAATAGAGTTTTATAAGTAAATACTTAATATATCTTTCAGTTATATTTGAGATATTTCTATACATTCTTGATAGTATTATGCATGATTTAACATTGAGTTGATGTAACTAAAAGTTATAGTTCTAATGGATTGTTTATTAAATGATCAACACAGAAATATTTCCACATGTTCTCATTTAGTTTTCTTCCATAACAACACGTTTCTTTCTTTTCTCTCTCTCTCCCTCTCTCTCTCTCGTTATTTTCCTTAATTGTTTGTTGTAAATTATAATCTTATCATTATATTATTACTATTTATTTTATGAACATTCCTTAATTGTTAAAATCATTTATTAATTATAAATAGAAATTAGTTGTTTCAGTTTATCAGTAGTGGTATTTTATATCTTTTCTTGTTATTGATTTTGTACAAGACTATTTCCATAGAATATTCTTGATATACTTCTTTATTGGACTTTCCATCTAATGTTGTTGTTGTTGAATAGTCTAAGTATAAAAGTGATATGATGCATTGAACTATATATAAATTGTATCGAAAGCGGTTTTTTGTGGATATTATGGTAATTTCAATAGTTGAAATTATGAATCAATTGAAGCTAGATCATCATGGAAAATTTGAAAGCACTGGACAGCCATTTCGTACTATTGTGAATATTTCTTTGTTAAGAACTAGTTTTATCTAGGTATTGTTCAAGAAATGTTCTAACATAACTTCAAACTCTTTAGATTTGAACAGTTTCTTTCTTATCTTCCTTACTTCCTTACTTATTTACGCCTGTTATCCTTCGTCGAGGATTCTTCATCTACTGATGTTCCGAATCTTCTACAAAACGGCCTTCCAGTGCTTCCAGGTTTTCCATGGTGGTCTAGCTTCAATTGACTCATGATCTCAACTATATGAATTGTGATTAAAATTGTTCTACAGATAAATATCTTTCTTAATTAGTTTTCTTTTTTTGAGTTGAAACAGTTTCAATTTCTTTTTGTTAATTGTATTCGAATTTGTAGATTTATGGAAATGTAACTGTATTTTTTTTAATTATCTTTCTTAATCTGAGAAAAGTAACACAATATTGTACATTTTATGTATGGTATACTGTACATGGTGTTTTGTTTCTGCCATCCTGTAATGAAACAGAGTTGGTAACAAAGTTTGTTTTTATCCACCATTTTATTTATCTTTTGTTTGCTTGAAAATTACTATTAACTGATTTATTATCTAAAGAGATATCATGGTTTATTTAGTGAAACTTTCACATTTAATAGTTTACTTATTGTTTAGTATAGTAGTGGGTTATTAATCACTGTGGAATGTAAGGATTTAAGGTAAATATTTTAAATAAATAAGAAAAACTTAATCATGCGAAATGGTCACTGTTTAAAATCATAATCGCAACGGAATTTCCTATCGGACGGTAAAT